CTAGGAAGAATGTATGCACTGTGTGAATTATTGAAACTGTCCTACCAATTTGATTTGAAACTGTCTCATTGCTATTTATCAATAAAATTATGGGGGGAAAAAAAAAGAAGCCAGTGCTGAGGATGTGGGCGAGACAGACGCTCCAGCTGTGGGCCAGACCGCAAGACAAAAGATAAAACAAGTGTACCTACGTGCTTCCTAAGTTTAGACATCAGGGACTGACATTCTACAGAGATACCTAGGGCCAGCAAAATAGCTCAGCGGAATAAAGTGCATGCTGAGGCAAGTTTAGGCAAGCACAGTGACTGTGGTTCAATCCCTGGTATCTCATGCTGTGCCTGCCCCATCTCCAGGTTAAGCTGAGCCAGCCAGGGTCCAGGCGTGGCGCTGCACACCTATAATCCCAGCACTGGCAAGGATGAAAACAGGAAGATCACCACGAGTCCGAGCTGTGTAGTGAGAGTCTGCAACCACCAAATACTTTTTTTTTTTTTTTTTCAGAACTGGGGATTAAACTCAGGCCCTTGCGCTTGCCAGGCATGCACTTATTCTACTGAGCTATCTCCTCAGCCCCCCCAAATACATTTTTTAAAAAATAAATAAATAGTTATCTATTACCTTGAGAAAGCCGGGAAGCCACTCACCCAACAGCCTAGAGGAATAGCCCTGTTCTGTATTCATGCCCACTTGCTACATGACTGGCTTCCTTATTTGATCCCAATTTAATTAAGTTTACCTGAGCAATTGTGCCTGTACCCTTTTTGGCTGACCATCATTAGCTGACTATACTGATACCAGGAGAAAATCTGATCTCGGGTGGGTGACCAAACAACATGGGGAACAATGATCTCCTGACCTGACCTGCACAAGTTCGTGTTCTCTAAAACCAAAGAATAAATTTTAGGAACAAATGGAGGTTATGAGCGGAATATATTTAGGTATCTCCTTCGAGGGCCTGGCCCTGTCTGACTGCCTATAATATTTCTATCTAACTCGGCTGCCCACAACAATAGTTTCGTCCCACCTCGTTTCCTGACTTGTGATTTCCCATCTTTCCCCACCTTGGACCCACCTCACCTCGTGGTTTTGCTCTACAAAAATCCCTAGAAAACACCGGTTCCTTAGCAAGCCACTAGGTCCCCTTTTGTCTATCTCTCAGACAGAAGCTTTCGTTCCCTCAATAAATATAGTCTGCTCTTAACGTCTGTTATTCCTTCTTTGATCTCAGAGAACACAAACTCATCCCAGATAGCTTTTAGGTTGGGAGTTGCTTTCCCCAGTAGCACTTGGAACATGAATTATAAACACCCACTGACTTTAGGGGGAAGAGGAGAGTGGGGCCATCCAACAGGCTTCAGCTTCAGTCAGAGAGGAGGCGGCGGCAGCCCAGGTCCCCTGTGGAGGGGGCTCAAGCGTGAATTTGCCAAGTCACTGGAAAACTGCCGTGCTCTCTGCACCCTCTCATCATGCTGCTGGAATCCTGGAGAGGTAGAAAAAGGCGCACCATGTCACACCTCGTCCCCAAAGCCTGGCACAGCATCACTTCCTCTGGACCCCAAAGCTTCTGACACACGGGGCCAGGAGTCACCCACACGGCCCGCAGAGCCTCAAGGGAAAAGCCAGACCCCTGCAGTGGCAGCAGCCAAGCCCACCTAAGCGAGCTCCCAGGGCCACCCATGCACCCCCAGGTCCTCTTAGGGCCAGAACCAGGTCCTCCGGGACAGCACCCTCTCCATCCCACCAGCTTGGAGCACCTTCTTCCTCACCCTCTTGGCCTCCAAGGCTCCGCAGCATCCCTGGAGCCCATGGAACCTCAGCCCAGGGACAAACACAGTCCCCACACAACAGGGGCCCCCGCTGGCACAGCTCCCACCTGCAAGTGAGCTCCTGCTCCAACTTCTGCTTTGGCTTCCACCCAGGAACCCCGCTGGGCACCCCAAACTACCTCCTTCCCAGTCATTTCGGACCCTGCTCAGACCCATGATGCTCCTGGAAGCCAACCCAGTGCGTCCTGGAAGCAGCCCAGCTCCCTCAGACCTTGGGCCCAGCAAGAGCCTGAGGACAATGTCACCCGTTCCTCCCTGCCCCACTCGGTCCAGGCTCCACCAGTGCCAGGCCGGTGGGTACTCAATACATGAGGGACAGGTCTGTGAGTCCACCGGCCTTGCAGGAAAACATGCCCAGAGCCATCAGGAAAGGTAGGGCCAGCTAAATAGCTCTGTGGATTGAAGCACCTACAAGCAGGCGCAGGGGACAAGGATTCGAACCCCAGGCCTGCCATGCTGGCCCCGCCCCCAGGGCGTGCTGAGGCATTGAGACTAGGCGTGGTGGTGTGCGCCTGTAATCCCAGCTCTTGGGAGACTGTAAACGGGTGGATCACTACGAGTCCAATCTAGTAGTGAGACCCTGAACACCCTGTGGACCCTTCCCTAAAATACAAAAAAAAAAAAAAAAAGGAAAGGCAACAAGGGCAGATAAGTGCCGACGCCACATCCAGCCCCTTCAACGCGCAAAGCCACTTCTCTGTGCAAAACAGTGATCGCTCTCCAGGGAAGAGAGCCACCCTCAAAGCCACCAAGGAACCTGTGTGTCCAGTGGCTGTGCCAAAAGAAGCCACCAGTCTGCCTCCTTCCTGACGTCACTCACTCAACTCTCCACATCACTTGGGCCAGCCCCAACCAAGGTGGCCACGGCTGACACAGAGAAGCCTGGTACGATGGGAGTCCTCAGGCACCAGGACACTGCACCCAGGGTCACTTTCAGGCTGTACTGCACGCCAGAAGTGGGAACAGCACAGCGGTGAAACCAGCAAGGGAGGTAGGGCTGAGGTGGGCAGAACAGAGGACCTTGGGACTCAGGGGTAGCAGAAGGGGCCAGGGGCCAGGGGCCAGGGGTGCTCTTCCACCTCTGCCCAGCCCCCTTCCCCTTCGCCCCTAGGAACACCTGCCCCTCGGCCTGTAGATCACAGCCTGAGCAGCTGGCCAGACCTCCAGGGGGCCCAAAGCGGCCACAAGAAAAGAATAAGCCAGGGAAGCTGCCTCAGGGAGCGCAGTGGGTGAGGGCTCAGGGGCCAGGGGATGCCCCAGAACACAGCCCAGTGCCAGGTACCCAAGCCTCAGCACCTGTGCAGCACCACTGGAGGATGCACCTCAGGACAGTGGAGGACAACCTGTCCCCTCTTAGGGCCGCTGCACAGCAGCAGCAGGCAACAGCAGGGGGATGCAGGCTCCAAAGCCAACTCCTCCCAGCTTCGACCTCAGATCGGCCCAAATCTCCTCCACCCGCTGTGGAGGAAGTAAGGCCTTTGATGCAGCCCTCCTCCACAAGCAAATCCCTGACTCTTCTGTCCCTGACCAGCTTTCTGTGTCACCCCGGCACATGGGCCAGCCTGGCACCTACTACCTGAAATCCTCTATGAGGAGGACTCCCCTCTGTGTTACTTTAAGGGTACATAAGGATCCCTGGTACCAGCGAGCCACCACTGGAGGAGGTTCTGGCCCCTAGCACACACTGACTATGGCCTAGGACACGCTGGCTGTCATCAGTGGGAGGGGCGTCCTACTGGCATGGGGAAGCAGAGCCCAGGGCTGCTGCTAAATGTCCCACAAGGCACAGCAGAACCCCATGACAAGCATCCAACCCCAAGAGCCAGCAGGGCCAAAGGGGAGAAGCCATGGCCACAGAAGACAGGGGACGGGGTGAGCAGGAGGGGACACCCTGAAGGACACCAATATTCACAACCCTGCTGCTCCCACACACGAGCCTAGGTGTGTACTTAGGGTGTAAACAGACACTGGTGATCTGAGTTCCATCATGACCCTAGCTTTTATCACTATGGGCAACTGGCTACATTAATTCAAACCTTAATAACACAGCAGGGCCAAACTGGGTATAGGAGCACACACCTGTAATCCCAGCACTCAGGAGGCTGACGCAAGAGGATTGCTGTGAGTTGTAGGCCAATCTAAGATACATAGTGAGTTCAAGGCTAGCTGGACTAGAGAGTGAGGCGCTGTGTCAAACCCCCCCAAAAAAAGTCTTCAAAATAGTAGGTCCAGTGGCCCACAGTAAGCGACAAAGACCTTTTGCTTGACCTCACTTCAGTCAGACTCCTAACCCATTTAGCAAGAACCATCATCCTCACTAGCTGACCATCCTCGCCAGCTACTCCAGCTCCACATCCCCTGCCACCCCAAGGCTGGCCAGTCCCCCAGCCAGTCCTCAGTGGGAATTCTGTCAGGTGAGCCTAGCCAGAGTCCTCTGACACCCCTACTCCTCCTCCAGGTGTGTTGCTTCCCGACCTCCACTCTGCCCACACTCCAGCATCCGTGGAACTAGGGCCCAGCTCCGCCCTCCACCTATGGCCGGGTCCTCACTGACATCTCCCTTGACAGGCCTTTCGGGGGTCAGTGAGTCACTTCCTTAACGTCAAGCATAAAGCAATCTGGGCAACTGAGGCTGCGTTCCCGAGCCAATGGCAGAAACTGGCCCAAGACAAGCACGGGCCGCTCCGCACCGCCCGCCCTGCTCTACTGATCGCTCCCACTCTCCCTCCAAGGTGACCAGGAGCTGCGCTCTGAAGGCCGCGGAGCCCGCTGGGGTGGAGGATGCCCTGCGGACTCCCCGCTCTGGCCGGCCGCCTCCAAGAGGCCAGGCGGTCATCCTTAGAGCCATGAGCGTGGCCCTCGGTGTCACTTTCTGTGGACAAATGGGCTTCAAGTCCCGTCTACGCCCCAGAACGAAGGGACACTTCCGCAAAGGGGCAGCGTGAGACCGGCAGGAGCTCCAGCCTGCGTCCAGGCTCAGGCCGGCTCAGCCCCGGCCGCGGACTCAGCGGCTCCTCCGCGGGCCTCTCGGCCTTCAGCACCTCCGCTCCGCAGACGCCCCTCCTTCCCGCGCCGACCCCTCCGGCTAGCTGGCTTGGGCCCGGGGAAAGGCACCTCGCGGGGCTTACGGGGACTACACACGTGGCACAGCCCAGATGTTGTGTGTTCCCAAGGACCACGGGAAAACCGGTGCTCCTTCCCTCGATTCGCGGCGAACAACGCCCACCCCCGGCTCGGCTCACCCAGCCTGCGGCCCGCAGGGACTCTGCACTACCTTCCGGTCCGGGGCAAGCAACCTGGGAATTTCCCCTCGAGGACCGCCCCTGTCTGTTCCCAGGCATCTGCGCGACGGGCGGAACTGTAATCCAATCGCGGAAGAGGAGGGCGGGCCTCTCCATGAGATTTTAGCCAATGGTAATGTAGCTCAAGGGAGTGGGCGGGCTGCGGGCGGAGAGGGCGGGGCGGCATACCATGGATTCTGTGCTGAGAGTGGCTAAAGAGGAAGCCAGATTGGTGGACAGGACCTGCGCTCTAGACAGGTGACAGCCCCCAGCAGAGTGGGCTGGAAGTAGAGAGAGTGGTTGTCCCAGCGGGGACCCTGCCCTGCTGGCCTCAGCTATGGGAGCCGGTGCGGACATCCCCAGACCCTGAGCCTCAGAAGAACCCGAGGCCTAGAGCCGTCCGGGTCCTCCCAGCAGCAGCGCCTTCCCGCCAGCATTTACCAGCTGCTCCCGACCCCGAGAGCTTCTGCTGTGCCCGCGCCATTCCGCTGCAAAATGTCATCTCCAGTTCTTCACCTGTGCATTGCTCATGTCTACTGCAAACGAGTTCTGGGTTCCTGTCACCATGGCCATCCTCACGGCCAGTCTGGAGCTGGCGGTCCTGTCCTTCACGGTGGAGCTCTCTTGAGAGTCCCCTTGCTAGTACCTGGCTGTTTCTTTCTATCCCGGGTGCTTCCACTGGGCCTCTGCTGCCTCTGCACCTCCAGTTCAGCCTGTTCTTCCCAGTTCCTTCGGTTCACCCCACATTTTCCTGAAGCCACACCCTTCCCAATCTGTCCGCTGTGCTGACCCAGAAGTGGCACGTCCAGCCTGTCAGCATGCACGGACGAGACCCTGTGTCCTCTTGCTTCGCAGGCGTCTATGAGGATGATCCACAGGCACCAATAACACTTCTTCCCTCCAAACCTTCACCACTGCTCACATCACTCCATGTCCCCAGGACCTGGTGGACCAGGCCAGACCTCAATAATGTCCTTCTAGCCTCCTCCAATCCACCCCCATCCTGTGCCCAATGGAGCACTTAGCAGAAACAGATACCTACCTTGCCTCTGGATAGTGAGATTGCATCAGTGGAGATAATAAAAACCTGCCTGGCCACTCACCAAGTATCAATGACAGACAGAGGAAGAGTCTCAATAACCACTTCCTCTGAAGGACACCACTTTCCTATAAGAACTTTGCTTATAGCAGAAACCAGGCTGTTTGAGGTCCTATGGGGTAAGCATGATGCAGCCCCTCTCCCCATGAGAACTGAAGTCACTTCCACAGTCCACGATAGAGCAGCCTGGGGGTCCATCCAGCTAGGGAGCCATGCGTGAGTCTGTTCTCAGCCTTCCATGCCTGCCTGGGCTGGAGGCTCACTGGGAATCAGGAGCTGGGTCCACTCTGTGGTCCAGGCTTGTGTTGAACCTGGCAGAGCAGCGCCTCAGCTGAACTTGACCAGAGCTCTGCCTTCCACAGGAGCCTTGGAAAACTCCTTAGTCACTATGTAAGCTGCCCAGTTAACAAACCCGACAGACCACAGGGATCCTGAAGGAGCCCGCTGATGGGGCTAGGACAACAGTAAGCCCCACAAGGGCAGTGTTTGCCTGGCCTGTCTGCACCCATGCACAGAGCACCTGTCACCCCCAGCTGCCCTTCAAGGTCCTCAGTCACCCACCCTCCACCTGCCAAGCCAATTAAGGCAAGGGAGAAACATCTCGGGAGGGTGTGGCTGTGGGGACAAGCAAAGGCAGCAATAGGGACAAGGAGAGGCTGAAGTCCCTAGTCTGTAATCGAGAATTCAGGTAGAGCAGATGATATCAACAGGGATTTCTAGGCTTGAAAAGAAGCCAGAAGGGCTGGGATATAGCTCAACAGGCACAGCACCTGCCTGGCAAGCACAAGGGCCTGAGTTCATTTCCTGTTTCCTGATCCAAAAAACAAAAAAGACGTGTACTCTTAATAAGCTGGATGTGACGACACATGCCTGTAATCCCAGCACCTGGAGGCTGAGGCAGGAAGATCATGGTAAGAGACCAGCTTGGGCTACAAAGTGAGCTCAAGGCCAGCCTGAACTATATAAGACCTTGTCTCAAAAAGAAAAAGAAAAAGCCAAAGGCCCTCTGTACACTTTCCCTTCCAGCCTTGCTAACCCTGTCACCGCCATCATGGTGGCGTCGGGAGATTCCCAGGGCCACACTGCAGGGGTGCAGGGACTCCTGACCCCAAGGTCTGGCTCTTTCCAAGGCAGTGGCCCTGCCAAACACTGATAACCTGGAGCAGTTGCTCAGCAGCCCTGTCTGTGGTGCAGGAAGGTGGAGGCTGGGCACGGACGCCAGGGGCCCTGCACTTCCAAGGAGGAGCAAGGACTTCTGGGAAGACAGGTCTCCAAGTCTCCACTGGGCTCCTTCCAAGACAGTGAATCACACAAAAGACAGGGGCCCCGCACACACTGGCTGCCCAGCGGGCTGAGTCCAGGGGAGGGACTCTGAGTAGCAGAGCTCTGCCCTGCAGGATGACAGCACAGGCCATCAGAGGCCAGAAATGCCTGCTGCAGGAAGGAAAGAGCAGGAGGCCCCCACAGGACACTGAAGGACCCCAGCGTCTGAGGGGCGAGCCACACCAACTGATGTGGGATGGGAGAGAGGCCCTGGGGGAGAGGATGGTGACTGGCACAAGAGCAGAGCCAGACGCCTGCCACCAAGTCCACATAGGGCACCCTGGCGCACCTAGACTCACCTCCCAGAGTCCAAGAGGGGAGCACAGGAAGCTGAGGCTAGGCTGCGCTTATGGCTTTGGCTCTGGCTGGTCCAACTGTTGGTGGCATCTTGCCCACGAGGAAGAGGCCTGCCCTTCCTGCCTGCCACTCTCATTTGGGGGCACAGGATGGCAGCATCCTCAGACACTTAGCTGCTCCAGACTACTTCTCCTGGCCCCCACACTGCTGTTGGGACCTGGGTGAGCCACCCCCAGCACCTACCCGCCTGACCCTCCTGACCCTCTAAGCTGGACCCTCTAAGTGTCTTCTAAAACTGACATCTGGGCTGGGGAGATAGCTCAGTAGAGTAAGCGCTTGCCGGGCAAGCACAAGGGCCTGAGTTCAATCCCCAGTTCCGCCAAAATAAATAAATAATAATAAAATAAAACTGACACCTGAGGGCTGAGGACAGCTCCCCAGCCATGGCCAGAGAGTCACCTGAGGGCCAAGGCCCACATCCCTGGAGAGGCAGAAACCCAGAGTGATGTGCCCCTAGGCCCAGCCAACGGCCCACATGCGAGGACATGGGAGTAGCCCCAGCTTGCCACCTCAGCACCTTCAGGCCAGTGTCCACCACCTGCAGCCAAAGCTCCCGATCCCTGGGACACACAGGGTTGATCCCCCTACCTCCCTGGATCCTGGCCCTGCAGCTCCTGCCAACATGCTGGCTCTTCTGCTGGGAAACCTGGCGGTGTCACTGAGCCCGACTTAGACACCTGCACCAAAGGGTGAGCCACCTGCCAGGAAACTCTGCAGATGGGGTGCGCCTTCTCCCCACACTGGATGTCCCTCCAGTGTACCTCCCTGGGGTTTTCCAGGGACCCTGAGTTTGGGCTGTGTGATGGGCCGAGCACTCAGGAAACAGGCGCTTCCTGCACGACGGCAGAGGTGATCTGTGTGTGCCCAGTGAACACGCTGAGCTCACAGAGTGAGCTGTTAGATCTCTAAATTGGAGCCAAAGGACAGAGCAGGCGACAGTTACTGCCCAGCGTGGAGAAGGCTGGAGGGGCGTTCGCAGCATTTCAGAGTAGGAAATAAAAATAGGCGCACAGCAGCCCTCGCACAGGACAGCGGACTGCACAGGAAATACCGAGCCAGCGCTAGCGAGGGGGCGGAGACATCGGGGCTCAGCCAGCTGGCGGGGGGCGCCGTGGAAGACCGTCTGGCGGTCCTCACCGGGCTAAACACAGGCCCCGCGCGGCCGCCCACTCTGCCCGTGTGTCCCAGCTTCACAGCAGCCAGAGGCAGAAATGGAAGCATCGTGGAGAAGAGAAAGCACAGAGCGCCTACGGTGGGGTCAGACAGAGAAACGCTGGGCCGGACGCCAACGGGTGGACCCGCTGGCGCCCAAGGAGCCTGGAGGGCGCGGAGGAGCGATGCCAGAGGGACATGGCACCATCCCAGGCCAGCCTAGACGGAGCAGACCAGCCACTGTGGACCCAACCGGGCCCTCTTGGGCTCGTGAAGAAGCTCTGGAGCAGACAGAAGCGAAAAGTTTTATAAACTGCATTGTATGCTGTCAAGTGGTTGACTTGGTGTTGTGTGAATGTCACCAAAATTTTGTTTTAAAGAAGAAAGCACCAAGTTTTACACCCATCACCCGGGTGCTGGTGTAAAAGGTCAAGGCTGGGAGATGGGGTGCAATCCGGCGAGCCAAGGGACGCCAGCTGCCCCTCCTCTGAGAGCAAGTGTGTGTCCGCCTCTCGCCTCAGACTGGGGGTGGGGGGCTTTGGTGGCCTCCTCAGAGCTCCAGTCACACAGGAAGCTGCCCATGTGCCAGGGTGACAGCACAGGTCTGCCCCTGGGATGTGACTGAAGTCCCTCAGGGTCGGGCAGGCAGCTCCGGGACAAGAGGGAGCGTCTCTGAGGGCAGCCGTGGGTCAGGGAGGAGCCCTGATGGTGGGGAAAGAGGGGGTGCTTTGGCCTGGAGACAGAAAGGGGTGCGGCCTGGCACGGGGAGGCCACTCCTCCAGCCTCCCTCCCCCAGCCTAGGCAGCCCAGAACCTCAGGGCAGGCGTCTGACCTGCGTGACCAGGAGGAGCAGCCGGTGCCTCAAGCCTTAAGTCCGAAGCGATTCGGGGAGGCTGACGCCGGCCGTGCCGGGCGAGTGTGGACCTCTGCGCCCTCAGCCCGGCCATATTCTGTCCCTCTGTGCACCTGTCCATCCCCCGTGAGCCGGGGGTGGGGGGATTGGGGCCGCCGGACACCACAGGTGAAGGCTCAGGGCCCTCCGCTGTGTGAATGGATGAACCGGGCGCCCCAGCCAGTTCACGAAGCAGCATGACACGGAGAAGTTGA